TATATATATATATATATATATATATATATATATATATATATATATATTCAATGTATGTATATATATTTTATATCGAAAGTCTAAACATTCGTATTTAAAAACCAAAACAATAGAAATGTCCAGAATTAGCTACTAATGTTGTTAGTGTCCAGACGTTGGTGTTTAGATGATAATCATTATGATTTAAGTGATCAGTTATTAAATTGAATTTCGGTGAATAATAGATCAAAGTAAAAGAAGACTAGAGGAATGAGTTATTTTATTTCCTGTTCTTTTGAATGTTTTCCGCTTTTCCCGTGGAGATACATCTTTGATGCTTTCCAAACAGTTCCCCGTGATCCTTCGGAGAATTTCAAACCGTGTACAATTTATTTATAACCGGGTTCATCGCGACAGGAAATTCTTGACGCCTGCCGACGATTCCTCGAGCCTAGGCGATCTTCTTTCATTTGCCGCAGGTGTGACGCTTCTTGCGCTCTTCCCGGGCGACGGCAATAGTACGGACTTGAGGATCAAGGATAGGATCGTCGATAAAAGGTAGGTCAAGCCCTTCCCCTCTCGCGTTTAGCTTCGGTTCGCGAGATGCGATTTGCCGCACGTGCTCGCAATTCGCGCAGCAGGAGCAATGCCGTTTTTGTTCTGTCGATCGGCGCGGACGTGAGAATAGATAAAACACACGGTCGGACTCGCGTGAAAATTGAAGTTTAAAATGTTTACCTTGGGCGACCGATTCCGTTGGTGTTTATTATATAGCCCGACGATTATCGCCGTATATTTTTCCGCGTTCGTATCTCGACCATGCGGTTAACGCGATGAGACAAATTCGCGCGCCGTTCTCTCGTTGTCGTCGCGAGAAGCTAATATATTCAACATGTAACGCATTTACACTTCTCCTATATATTCTACGCTGTTGTATTGCGCCGTGTAACCGAGTTATGCGATTAATAATCTTCAATCGCATTTTGCGCATCATTAATGGCGCGAAGCGTTCGCGCATAGCTGATTAGTCGGTGCCCTTAATTCTCCAAGTTCGTTATCTTCGTGCGATCCGTCGCGCTCGCAGGCTTTAATTCCAGTAAAAGGTTACCTCTCCGCTTTGTGAAGAATGGCGAATTTTTCATCTCAAACTCGTGCGCCGAAGACAGAATCGTCAATGTGTCGCGGATCTAATTTGACATATACTCCAACCTGTTACAAAACGCTGTAGCAAACATCACATCGGAGAATCGAAATTCCCCTGTGATATTGTCAAGCTTGCAAAGCCAGTTACAGGACTGGCAGCGAGCAACGGCACCCTTTGGGCCATCATAAAGCGCACGTACCGTGACAGTTAAGAAGGAAACACGTCGTGGAACCCCTGTCTCGGTTTAGGCTTTACAGTCTTCGTTATATAAAGATATTATGCACGTTTCAGCGACAGCTGCGTCGCCTTTACCATTGTACGGGTTTCGAGGGCTTGCAGCAGGATCTCGGATTTGCTCTCAGAAGGTTGGTACAAATAATAGTGGAAATCGATCATGCGTGCCCTCGTTGCGACAGTTGATCCCGATCTCAATTGAATACGAGAGTTTCATTCAGTAGGGGATACCATTTGGCTGCAGTTTCGACAAGGTCCGCGATTCTCATGAAAGTTAAACGATCCCAAGTACTCCCAAAACATATTTAAAAGACTTTTTCGCGTAATTGAAAGTTCATTGCACTGTAATAAATTTCGGGTTAAATTTAACACGTTTTACATGTTCTGATTTATTCACTCTAACTTTTGTGTCAATTTAACACAAGTAATATGAAAGCAATATACACAAATAATATGTTGAAAGTTAACACAAATAATATGTTGAAAGTTAACACAAAAACATTACTGTGTTATCTTAATATTTAGAAATGGTGAATACGAACTACACGCAAGAATAAAAATAAAACTATGACGATATGTGAGAATAACGCACGGGTATGTTAACAATTTAACAAAAAAGTTTCTACGCAAATTCACTTCAGTACAAATACAAAATGTCTTTTACCGTGCGAAAATTAACTGAGAGAAAATTAACACGGATGTAGAATGTTTTTCGACACCATGTATATTTCCGAAATAACACGTGATGTGTGGTAGATGCTAATATCTTTCTGAGTAATGTTCTAAAAGGTTTTAATTATCACTAATTTTTTATACAAAAGTCAGAAATAAAACAAACAAAAGGTAGGAACTATCTTTTACAGTTGTCACTTAAATATTTCGCTTTTCTAAATTGATGAATCTAAGTACTGTGTACTAAAAATTTTTAGTACCGTGTACTAAAATATTTTTCAAATATTAGCAAAGACTCCAACGCAAGTTGGCAAAGATGGCAGACACACTCGTTTCGCAAAAAAATCTGTACGAAAAAGTTGGTTCATTTTGAAATTGCACCCATCGTGCACTCTCTCTCTCTCTCTTGTCTCCGCATTGTATTTATGACAAAGTTGAAATTAAATTCGCGCAAAAAAATTAATTTATAACCTGACATACTTTTTTAATCTCCAGTATTAAATTTTCTACTTCGTCGCGCTTCGAACAATATTGCCTAGTTTATTTATTTACGGCTGAAAAGCAGGCCGTAATTATTTGTGCATATTTCAAATTGAAATTGTGAAGAGAATTTCTATAATTTGCAAGCATTCGCACAATTCCCCGCCAATCCTCGCGCGAAAGAAGAATCTCCGAGAAGAAACTATGTGAACGCGGCTTCTTCGCGCGAGGGAATCAACAGCAGTCAGATGTTTAGTAAAACGGCGGAATTCGTGAAAGTCTACATCGACATCAAGGAAAACGACGGCGGATATTCCGCGTATCGCGCGCGAGTTGTTCTCTTCGCGGTTAAGTCCTCGCCGCACGTTCAAGTTTTTCTAACCGTAATACTTCGAGGAGACAATAGACTTCTGTCTTACAAAAAGCGGCTCGCATCCGTACCGCGGCACGTAAAACTCGGGATTATGCTCCAAGCGAGAAATTATCGCACCTGCGGAAAAGTCCGTTCTCTTAGCGTTCTGACATTATGATAAAAGCAAGATCTCTTGGTTCGCGTGTGCCCCGTGAGTTTGGAACTTTCAATATCAATTTTAAGTTTTGGATATCCTCATTTACATCGCGTGAGACACGACAAACGCGAAAGTCTTGTATGCCTTTGTGCATTAATAATGAATGTTTGTATCCTCCCGTTAATGCATGATGCATTTAAAGCAGTATATATATTAATATATTACGTAATTACGTTTTGTGACTACAGAATCCATGATCCACTTCCGCGTGAAACATTCGGACTGATCTACACTGACAATGAGAGAAAAATGTTTGGTATTTGTAATTGTAATTATATAGAGAAATAATTACTATAAATTATGGTCAAGATAATTACTATAATTAATATATACTCAAGATACTATAAATTATGGTCAATAATTATTATAAATTATGGTCAAGACTATCATTTTTTAGTCAATTGTATTATAATTTTAGTGATAATAATCTTATATACATGTTACTACTACTATCTTCGTGTTGGAACAATCAAAAAATATAGTTGGTGTCAAATTGGACCTCAACTATGTTTTTTAGTTTTTCCAACACGAAGATAGTAGTAGTAACAAGCATATAAAATTATTATCACTAAAATTATAGTAAAATTATAGTTGTAAATACCAAACATTTCTCTCTCAGTGTAGAGAGACATGAAATAAACGTGAGGCTTTAATTGTTTTCGCGCGGTCGATTTTCGTCGGCCTCTGCAATCGGCGTAAATCGTTTTTAAACGTCGAGAGAAAGACGAGCCTGTTCTTACCTGAAATCGCGCAATTAAATCAAGCTTTTAGGCGAGCCTAAACTTCTGAAAATCCAGATACGAATTTCGCATAATGATGAATCACGTCAGTAGCGTGGAAATGAAGCGACTCAATCTAATTCTAATTAACGTGCGCTCGCGGCTTCACAACATAACGTCATGTAAATTAGAGCGTAGCTTCCGCGACGTTCTACGACGGCTGTTATCACGAAGGAATCGACCGGATGAAGTGGATGCAGTGGATGAAGATAACGGTTGTTTCCTACCGGGCGTATCTTGCACAGATAAACCACGAATGCGCGGAAATCTGCGGACAAAAGCAAGTTATTTTGATGTCTTTATCTTCACTGCTAATTTTCGGGATCGTCTCGTATTTTTTTGCTCTGTATACTTCGATCATTTCGTCTTTCTCGTTGCAATTATTGACGTAGGACAAATGAATTTAGATGGAAATTAAAACTTCAATTGTGTCCCCTCTCGTAGAAAATGGCAATGACAAAAGGAGAAGGAATACAATCCGACATGGAGTACTACGGTGTGCATTTGCAGATTTGGACTTTACTTGACTTTACTTCACTTGAAACTTATATCTCGCGTCAGATATTCAGATCTGAATATAGAGTCAGATTTGAGTTTCCTATTTGAATCATGTATATAACTATTTGAATATATATATGACATTATACATTTGTTATCGCGATTCAGCTGAAAAAACTCACAACTATCTCTAAATCCAAATACGAGTTTATAGTTTTAAGAAGACAAATTAATTAAAAATAACTTCTCTCATTGGACTATCGACTACGCTCTGAAGTTCATTGTGTCTAAACTGTTTTACAACCCATTGTACATATATATATATTTTTTTTTACAAATATCAATACGATACGCTAATGACGTCTGTCATTAGAATCTATTATAATTTATTATGAGTAATTTTTATAATAAACCATAAAACTCCAAATTGGAGTATCTCATATGAGGTAAGTTTCAAGTAACGACTATTAAGGAGATGCTGAAGTCAATGATGAACTTGAACAATGTCGATAACGCAGGGACGATTGTCACTATTACGTTATCCTTTTCGTATTTTTTGTACACTCAGTTGCATTGATGCTATACCATTTACCAGATCGATAGTAACTAGAAAGTTTCGACCAGCCATGTCCGTTTCTAGTTGATCGTTTTTTATGACTGTTGATTCGTCCGGCAAGCGGGAATGTGTCAAAATAGAAATGACATTTTGACAACTTTTGGTGTTAATATTTTATTTTTATATTTTCACGCTATTTTCTCTCAAACTATTCGTTATTTGATAAGCGCTTCAGAATATTAACAAACATTCTACTTTAATATATTAGAAAAAATATTTTAAGTAAAAAAATATTTAAAAATATTTTTTATTTACTTTTAACATTCTTATTCTTCTTCTACTGATTGCGCGTTACACGTGAGCGAATAACCTTCTGATAAAAATACGTATGTAAGAAACATCAAGCTGTCAAAATGTCACTTCTGTTTTGACATATTCCTGCTTGCCTGATGAATCAATAGTCATGAAAAACGATTAGCTAGACACGGGTGGTTGAAATTTTCTAGTGATTATCAATCTAGTGAATGGTATAGCATCAATGCAATTGAATATACAGAATTTACGTAAATGTGTGTTGTTTTATTTTACCATATTCATCCGAAAATCTAATCATGCACGCACACATGCATGTGTAAAAATCTTTCTGCAAACTTTTCTGACATTTTTATACTTCTGTATTCAGATACAGCAATATTTTTCAAAAATTTTCTGTTTAGAGCATTCATATTTCGATATGTACAAGCTGCGGAACTTTTGGATTAGGTAAATATTACGCTGACTGACAGCTTGATATTTAAATTTAATTGAAAAATTAAAAAAATTTTTTTGTTACATATAGCAATGTTCCTATTTATTTTTGCATGTACTTTTATTTATAAAAGTATTTGTAATTCTGTACAACCGACGTAAACAACGTAAACTTTGCAGAAAAATGTTAATATTCTGTCGATAAAGTTTTCAACTTTAGCATCTCTTTAAAGGGATGCTGAAGTCGATGACTCGGAAAATGTCGATAACGCAGAAATTATTGTCACTAATACACTTTCGGTATGTACAAGCTACAGAACTTTTGGATTAGGCAAATATTACGCTGACTGACAGCTTGAGTGATTTAAATTTAATTAAAATGTTTTTCTCTTTCT